TATCCATGAAAGGAGTGTAGGAGGGGGTTCCATACAATGGCTTCCAAACAGTCTCTGCAGGAAAGAGAGCCCTTCCCTAGATACTGGTGGGCTGAGGCTCGGTCTTGCTTGGTATATGTGCCTGTCATATACTGGGGTACTTTGAAGATCCTATTTTGTGCTTTATCTCTCACCGCACATGATATAAGGAGCTTAAATTCATTGTTTGGGATTCTGGAGCAGGCATCTAAATGTTTAACGCTCAGAGTAACAGTGCTTGGGTTCTTTTCCAGATCTAGCACTAAATACTCACTTTGCGCTATACTCAAATTCTATGTACCTGTATCTTCTGTTGCTATTTGTAGGTGTTGCAGTGATAGCGGTACTACAGAGAACTCTCCACTACGACTGTATTGTCCTAGTGAAACAGTTCAGGCCCCCAATTAACAGCTATTGCTTGGAATTTCCTGCAGGTAAGTGACTGAAACATTAAGATGAGTCACATAAAGCTGACATTTAAGTGTGTTCAGATGTGCTTCAGTGTCAGTCTTAATGAAGTAGCTCTAACCAGAAAACTGTGGTGACTCTAGCTCAGTGTACTATTCAGAAATAGGAATATTTGATAATGAAGAATACAAAATGAGTTCATTTTAGCAGAATGGAGACATTTTGCACAGTAGTCTGGTAGTAGAATATTGCATTTCCCTCCATTCCTCCTTTCTCTAAGAGTGAAAGGATTTGGCTTTTTTCCCTCATGAGAATATTAATGCCATTTCCTGGGAAGGTAGCATGCTTCTGTAGATAATCAGTTGAAGATGTGGGCAGCAGCATGATGAATCCAGGAACTGGAATCCTTACTAACGCTTCAGTTTATCTCTCTGTAAAAACAGGGTCATGAGGATGTTTCACCTCTTCCGTAAAGCTGGATTAGATCTTGGGATGGGTATTGTGGTTAAGTGCGAGCTTTTTAATTGATCTTGGTATTACTTATTTCACAGGCCTCATTGAGGAAAATGAGACTGCAGAAAGCGCTGCATTGCGAGAATTGGAGGAAGAAACTGGGTACAAGGGGGAAGTCATTGAATGTACTCCAGGTCTGTGCTTTTTTTTTTTTATTTTCCCACCCAAAGCTAATTCTGTCTTTGACGGGTACTCTAAATGTCTAAAATGCTCTAAACCAAGGGAAAAATCTGCGCAGAAAGGTTTACACAGATTAGCAGAGTAGTATCCCATGGCTGTACCATTGAGACTTTGGTCCTTGATGAATCAGTTGCTGAACTTCTGTTAAACATACAGGACTAAAGTAAAAGTTTGATGTCTATAGGGGACAACTTTGCTATTAATTAGGATCCTTTATACAAAACCCAATTATTCAAGCTGTGATCTGGCATTTTAGTATAAAAGTCTAAATTGCTGGACTTAATGTGAACAATATCCATGAACTTAGGGAGAAAAAATAGCTGCATGATGCAGTCTGAGTGGAGGTCACCCTCATGTCAGCTGTGGGGAGGTGACAGTACTCAGGTTCTCCAACCGGAAAGAAAAAAAGGAGAGAATACTTGGAGTAAATCCAGAGAGCTTTTGGAACATGATTGTTACCAATCCAATGCTTCCTACATAAAACAAAACAAAGGCAAAACGAGGACCATAAGTAAAACTTGAGAAGGTAGGTAGAAAGGTGAGGCAGCTTACATATGATTTCAAGTAAATGTCATTACAGTTGAGACTTGGCTCTTGATTGTGGGGTACAGCTGCGTGCTGGGGACTGAGAGAGATGGAGACAGGTGATGGCAAAATTAGACTCTAATAGGCTGAAGAGGTCTATAAGGGAATTACAGTTTCATCTTCAGTCTGTGGAATGGAAAGTAAACCTAACTGCTGAAATCAAGTCTTACAAGGAATCTGTAGAAGAGCTGAGAGTTACAGAAACGTTACTTTTTTTAAGAACATGTGATAACAAACTTTTCACAACTCTTCCAGCATGAACGTATGCCAAATATATGTTCTTCTATTGTATCGCGTATATTTCTGTGAAAGCTTTTGTTAAAACATCGAGTTACCAGACTTCTGCTTTTGAAAAATTAACCTCTATGTGTGCTTGTTGGCAGCTCTCTGCTTGGACCCGGGTTTGTCAAACAGTACGACACACATTGTGAGTGTCACCATTAATGGAGATGAGGCTGAGAATACAAGACCTAAGCAAAAACTTGGTGAGTTTTGTACCATTTATTTGAAAATTCTAAGATAACAAAAGAATGAGCTTAAAAGAACTATCCCTACCACAGCATCTCTTCTGTCCCAGCTGATTTAGATGCTGTACATCCTTGAAATCATATCCTGCAGTCTAGATGAGCAGAGCCATGTTTCTTTGCTAAATTCAGCGGGGAGGCCTAGCTGTTAAGTGTCAGGTGTTGGCACACCCAGAATGAGAAATTCGTGTGCCAAACTTCAGTGAGGGCCATAAGCACTAGTGAACCTAGATACTCCTCTTAGTTGTGGCTTGACCCTGGAAGTGACTAGTGTCACTCACAATCAGTCAGCTATCAAAATGCTTTTCAGTTGTAAACTCTAGTGTATTTCAAAACTCTTTATTTTTTTACTTGCAGATGATGGAGGTACGTTATGTAACTGCTCCTTTTGACAGTAAGGTCAAGCATGATCTTCGTATGGCAAGTTTTACTTGGAAAATGTCAGTTAAACCTGTTTTTTATTTGGGCTTGGTTAATCTCCTGACCCTAATGAAACATGCATGAGACTGACTTTGGCCTAGACATGAAAATTCCTGTGGGGCATTACTGCGTCAATTATTGTCAAGTATTGCACCTACAGCACCAGTATCTCAGGAAATACAGATTACTGAATCCACAACAGCAGTAGGTCAAGCCAGAAAGACAACTAATTCAGATAGACAGGGAAGGTGTAAGCCAACACAAATTCATCAAGAACAAACCCTTTGTGCTGTTTTGGTCTTCAAACATATCCACAATCCATTACTGTACCAGTATAAGCCAAACAAAAGTCCCCTTCAACAGTGTATTTTCCATTCTCAGAGGGGAAGTGGTCTCCTTTTAGAAGGATTCTTATCCTCCACAGCTGTCAGCAACGCTGTTTTTCCCAGTTTCTTTCTGCCAAACCTGTTTTTTAATGACTCCGGTTGCTGCCTTCCCCCATGTAATCTGCTTTTTTGTGATACTTGAAGGCTCACAGCTTCTGCATGGCATTAAGCTAGTTAGTTAGTTTGCTTCCCCTTCTGACTTACATGATACAGGACACTGAGGTAGACTTCCTCAGCTGTTCACTAATTTAAAGGTGCATAAAATATTTTTCTTCTCTCCTAGAATTTGTGGAAGTTATTTCACTTCCAAAGAATGACCTACTGCAAAGAATTGATGGTAAGAGCTTTCTGACGCATTAAATGCACTAATGGGAACCTCAAGAAACCCTTAGCTTCTCTTCTCATAGCTCCTCATGGCATTTCTCATCCTAGAATACTGTATCTTAAACAAAAACCTGAGAGAGATTTGGCCAGGTAACAGAGTTAGTGACAGCATTAAGAATTCATGTCTGGAGTGCTATACAGCTTTGTTTTGGTAAAGGACTTAATTTTTTTTTTTTTCCTTCCAGAACTCATAGCAGAAGAACATATTGCAGTGGATGCCAGGGTTTATACTTACGCATTGGCCCTGAAGCGTGCAGCAGAAAAACCGCTCCAAGTTCCTTTTATGAAGTTCTAAAACTAGACGATGAGAAATTTAGTTGAAAACTGCCCAATTCAGATGGCTTACAAGTGTAACTCTTCTTGTACTAAAGGTCCTTTGCTTTACTTGTAGAGCAAACAAAAGTATTTGTAGGAATGATTCTGATATTTTTATCTTGAATTATGTAACTGACAATTCTAACTGCTCAGTCTATCAAGCCTCGACAGAATAATCATAATAAAAATGCTGTTTGATTTTCAGAATGGCTCGTTTCTTGCTCTGTTCATCACTGCACTTATGTTTCAGTACAAGGAAGATGTTGAAGTGCCTGTAGTTGGTGTTGTAACTCCATCTCTTCAAATCAAGTAAGACCGCACTTCTCTCTCATCCGTAAGTAGCATCGTTTCAGCAACTAGAGGTAATTGTCTGCAATAGGAGCAGCAACAGGGGCACAAGGACAGAGCGTGCATGCTCTGGGTGGTGTTTGAAACTGCAGTTTCAGGAACTTCCTTTTATGATTTAGACCCAAAGATGTTGCTTCCTTCTCGCAGCCTGAACTAAACTATCCAGAAAGAGAAAATTGGTTTGTTTGATCTAAGAAAATACCGACTCTGACAACAATAACAACAAAATGGCCACTGGTGCAAACCAGAATGGTGTAGGACCCAGCCAGGGGATTCTGTTTAAGGTATGAGCTTACGTGGATGCCCTGACATAGGACAGTTGTGCTGTTCTCCCCGGGACACATTCACGCACCTAGGCTGCACCTTCGTTCAATCTAATCACTTCTAGATAAATCTTCTGCCAAACAAACCTTCAGACTATCTGTGCAGTCGACTGCTTCTAATTATGTAAACAGATCCTAACCTTTAAGCAGTGGTGGCTAAGAGTTGTAATAAACATCTGCTCATATCAAAGTCTTGCCTCTGAAATAAATTTGGAGGAGCGTGCATAATTAGGAAGACTTTCCTAGCTTAAAAACAAAGCAGAAAACTTGCTTAAGATTTTCTTACCTTCACAAACAACACAAAGCTACTTTCAAGTTAAGCATGAGAGAAGACAGAAGAAATCAAAATGTGAAATCAAAGGGAAAAAGTCATTGATTACAGCCAAGCAAAAATGCTCAATGATTTTAGGGGGAGGAATCTTGTGATTTGGTTTTTAATTAAGGCTGCTAAAAACTGATCAGAATTACATTCTAGAAAGAGAAAGGATAAAAAGAAAAGGGAGCCTTCCAGACCTACCTCACTAACAAAGCATGTTAGAAATGATCAAAAAGTGCATATGAATTACATCTTGCACAAATGAGACACAGGAGAGAGCTTAATTAAATAAGTTTATTGTCTAACGTTTACAGTTGTTACATTGCCGCTGTAAAGTGCGACAACATAAATAAATTTTCAGCAGGAACTCCTCGTTCCCCCCTTTCCCTTCTGTGAACACTGCTTTAGGAACCCCGCCTTGTTCTTTAGACTCACAAAAGCAAAGTGGACATGAAGTTTCAGTGGCACAGTTTTCACAAGTACATGTTTAAACAAAACTATGGGGCTGACTTGCTAGCATGACAGCGGCTACCATGCTGTCTCGCAGGAGGCCTGGGGCAAGAAACCAAAATGCCCCTGGCCCTGCGATGCAGCAAATCCACCACAGAACCAGTTCACAGGTGAGATGAGTATCAGTCTCCGGTAAAATGTTTGCTTGTCCACCCTTAGAGCTAAGAGAAAGGTGCCTGGGTGGAGACACCACAAAGGAATAAGGAGTGCTGAGTTCAATGATAGGGAAATGCAAGTTAAAAAAGTATAAAAAATTAATGTAAAATACAGGCTACAAATAAATTTTGTCAAGAATACTGGCACGTGGCAATCTGAACTCAGATTTTATTTTTTCTTCCTATTAAGGACAGGGAAACAAATTTAACATTTTAATGTTGTGTGCAAAAACGTTTACCGATATCAAACTGATACATTTTACCATCTCACTGTAGTGTTTGAACAGCAAGGTAGATGAATTGGTTTCCAGCATTACAGGCAACACTAGATAATACTTAAACAAGATAATGTAAACTTTATTCTTAAGGCAGCTGGTACTAATGCTGCACACAGGCATTGCTCAATGCCCATTACAGTAATGGGACATGTAGCACTTTAAAACAAATAAAAAGAAAATAGCAGTATTGGACTAAATGAGGCATGTTGTCGAAATGCTTTCCCTTTCACACAAACCATGAAATATTTGGACATCTAGAAAAATAATGCACCTACTCCTCCAACTTCAGCCTGTTCTTTTACAAATATTTCAAAGTACTGATAAATAATAGTGACTGCAAGCAGAATGCCAGTGCCAGATCCAATGGCTCCTAGAAAGTCAGCCAATACTGAAAGGGCACCAATGCACAAACCGCCAAATGCAGCTGCTGTAGGGATGTATCTGTACCAATGAAAAAAAAAAGTATTAATAATCATGAATTTTCATTGAAGGATTCTAACAATACTACTAAAGCAACCAACTAGAATATTGAGCAACAAATTTAGCGTTGCAAACGCAACTCTGTCATCAGCTTTTACTATCTTCCCTATTTGCACGAAGTAGAAACTAAAATAAATATTCACTGGCAGGAAAGCTGTGTGAATAACGGAACACTGGCAAAGCTTTCCAATTCATAGTATGACAATTGTATATATATGCACGCTATGTAACCTCCACAGGACTAAGAATAACTGCTTTGACTTAAATATGTAGGGATAAATCTACCTTTCAATATAGATCTGCAGACTTTGCATACTGCGTGAAATACCGCTTTTGTAGTGTCATCTGAGTTCAGTAATGGTAAATTAAACACCTGTAAAAATCAAGGTATCTTCCTTTTACAAATGTGGAAGAGACTCAGCCCAAATTCCCTTGTTATGCCACTTAAAACAAAGACACCACAGGTTAATCTCTTACCTACAGCTATAAACATCTTCTGCATTACTAGGAAAGGCAACAGCTGAATGGGAGGAATCTTGACATTTGCACTGGAAACAGCTCTTGGATTTTTCCGAGAGCATCTGCTCTAGTTGATACCTCCCCAGCACTCTCAACCATCCCACTGGAAGTCCGCATTTCCTTACCTGTTAAGCTCGTGAACCATTGAAGTATCCCTGTGGCCTCTCATCACCATTTGCTGTTCTTTGAGTTGCTTGGCAACCTGCAAAAACCATCATTTTATGAAACTGCTGCGGTGTTTCATAGTCACCTGCTATTTAGTCAGAGTAATAACTGATCAGTGAGTAGCTAGTAGTCAGTTGTAAATTAGAGGCAGTGTTTGAAAACGTTCAGGCACATTTATCAGAACACCTACATCTTTCGCTGATGAGCCAGACACCTCGATCCAAGTCTTCGAGAAGAACGCACAGGATCCCAACATAAATATTATATAAACTATTACATGGACGGGATCCTCAAATATTGCACCCATGGATTCTGGAGGGGACAAGTAGTAGCACAGGCCACCAACAGGATAAGAGCGAGCAGGGCCACCACCACTGACATCCTATGAGGGGGGAAGAAAAAGGCAGTTAGTCATTTCTCACAGACCTCTCACATTCCTATCCTGTATTATAGAGGAATTCCTCTTCAATGTTTAAAACAGCTTTTATACACAAATGTTAAAAAGTAAGTATTCCAGTTTTCTGCCAGTTAAATACCAAAGTTTCACAATGAAGTAATATATAGAAATAATTATATGCCGTTAAAAAAGTGGTAAAATACTTACTGCCCACTGTCCTAGTAAGTTCACCAAGAAGTTGCCGCTAAAACGAACAGACAACATCTGGGAAATAACGTAAAGGTTCGAAACTAAGGCAGACTGCAGAATGATGGGAATGTTGGAGGTATAAAAGAGCTTGATAGGATAGCTACTGTACTGTCCACGATACCGCGCAGACTTGATAGGTAAATCAACACGAAATCCCTGTGGGAAAGAACACAAAGGCACCAAGTTTATTTCCAAGATAGAAGGTATTCCTAGTATGCCCAAAAGCTATTCCTGACCACAGAGTTCTTGCTAGATAAACATGGAGTGCAAGGTCTGCAACAGTAAAACCCAAAGGCTTTCTGTTACAGTCTGGATTAAAAATTTTAAGGATTTCTAAGTGTTACTGCCTGGTTGTATTACATCCTTTTTACATAAACATTATCTCTCATCTGCTAAATTATATTCCTCTAAAATACACTTTATAGAACAGGGTTTGATAAAAGCCTTTAATGGCTTTTAAATTAACTAGCCAGTTAACAGCAGACTTTTCTGTAGTAAGCCCAGCCCGCTATTTTCTGGGGCAGGCTTCTATCTGAGCAGACCCAAGAAAAGCCACATGGACTTGAAAACCAGAGAATTCAGTTTTTTGCCAGCACTCTGACTCAACAGCTTTAAAAAAAAACAAAAACCAAAACCCACAAAAAAACAAACCCACATTTTAGCCACACACATGAAGAAAAAAAAAAAAAAGATCTCCTTTAGCATCCACTTCAATAAATACTTAAATTTAAAAAGAAATACTAGCTAAGTATTTCAAGAAAATTAGGGAAAAAGCAGTAAGCTATGCATTAATTACACAGTTTTTTTCTAGAACAAATTTGTATCATGCACACCCCAAAGAAGCAATATTCTTTAGCTGTGTCCAAAGGTATTCTTTTAAGTCAACTATGAAAATCAAGTATATTATATGTGTGATACAACCACTGCAGTTCCCAAATCCATTTTTAGTAAAAATACTCTCATAGTGTATGTGGCATTTAATGGAATGTGAGATTACATCACTGTCTGAGTACAAGTATGTCTGGCTATAAAATTTAACAGCTGTACTGTCACAGAGGTATGTTACTGAAATAACAATATGGAAATAAAAAGAGCTCCTTACTCAAAGCTAAGATACTTCAGTTACTCTAGTTTAACTTTTGCATTTTTTCCCAGTGACTGCAGTGTCTAAGGTCCATGCACTTCTACCTACACAGTTGCAGAGCTGCTATGAGGAATTTCTCATTTTACCTGAAAATATATGACTACAGCAAATACAAATACTGTAGCAATCAGATTCATGAGATTGGGCAAATTCTGTCGGTAAAAAGCCTCCCGCAAAGCCCGGACTTTGTCGGTCCGTGTAGCCAGAAGATGAAATAATGCAATCACAGCACCCTCAAACTCTGTTCCTGCACAAAGCAAAAAAGTAGAAGAAATTTTAATCTGTAAATTAAAAAAAATTTAAGAAATAGTATCTTTCTTTTGGAAATTTTAAGAACAACACATATAAAATCAGTCACAATAGGACATAAATCCTGCTACGACAAATATATCACAATACAGGATTCTGCTTTAGCTTATAGACTAATCTACCAAAACATTATTCCTGGTTTAAAAGACAAAACAAAACAAAACCAAGTAACACATATGAAAGAACACTCTTTTTCTTTCTTTTCTGGGGGCAAGAGGATGATTGGAAGGAAGAAATAATAAACAAGGAGAGAAACAGCTTTAGAAAATCAGTAATAAAATGCAATAAAAAGAACTACTAAAAATCAGGTGAAAATTAAAGCACACTAAAACCATGGCTCAGGATTTCAAATGCATGCATTAAACTAGTTAACTTCTTGATGCAAAAAGGCTGTATCTTAACCTGGTATCAGGACAACCAGATGTCAAAGACTGGCTGAGGAATGAAGAGATGGTAGTCTCTGAAGAATCAAACTAGCTTAAAGTAGTTTGGAGGCACCAACTATAAAAGCATCCTATAACCACCAGCAACAGTTGGATCATAAACAATTCTGAACATGTAGAATTTCTTATCTTCTCTATTTCTATCGACTAAATGATGCTACAAGACTATTTCAGTTTGGAAACCCAAAAATTTTCAGTCAAGGGTCTTCAAGTCCCATTTTAGCTACTGCAATTCGAATCAGCAAAAGCAAACTTGTAGGTTATTAATCTTCCTGTAAATCAGACGTTTTCATCTTCAATGTTAGACAACTGACTTTAAAACATTTTTTTAATATCCATCCGATAAACATCTGATAGTTTATGTATAGTATACATCCAGTGAAACACGTTAGTTGTAATCGCACATGTACCTCTGCCAGTGTTGATGGTAGTGGGACTAAAAGCCTTCCAGACAATGGTTTCACAGATATTGGTAGCAATAAACAGGGAAATACCAGACCCCAATCCATAACCTTTCTGTAGCAACTCATCTAACAGCAACACAATCAAACCAGCAACAAACAGCTGTGGGAAAAGAAACAAAATTGAGCAGAAACAATAATAAATTAAGTCAAGAATAATGTATTAATTCCCTGCTTCAGTATTTTCGTCATGTTGGAGAGTGATCATCAAGTTTTTCACCTGAGTATCATTCATGCAGTTATTTCCGCCCTCTCACGTACAAATGCCTGCACATCTCACCTAGCAATGATCTCTGTGACTTTTCAACACTGACACTAGCAAACAGATTACTCAGTGAGCGCTTTTTCAAAGTGTTTAAGTTTGTGCATTTACTGCTTTGCTCTACAGGATAACGTCTCCAAGCTGCATCTGTGCCATTTAGTGAGTAGTCCTCCATGGTACTGAACAGCAGCTACTGCTTTCAAAGTCTACCAATTCCTGTATTTCGAATCAAGCAGCCACTCCTACCTGAAACATTTTTGACATTAACTATTACAACTTTCTCCTCCTTTATGGAGTATCTAGAATTTCTCATATATAGACAGATACAAAGGATGATGCTTTATAGCAGTAAAAATAAATAAATAAAAGGCAACCAGACATAGGTTTTTCCTTCCAGCTATACTGTATCTAACCAGTCTCAGTTACACACAAAATAGCTCATTACAAACCTGAATTATAATAAGAAGACAAATTCCAGCACCCATTTCAGCAGGATCTCCATACATTCCAGTCATAACATACACAATGGCTTGCCCAATGGTAATAATCATCCCAAATACTAAAACAAGAGAGAAAGCAAATCCTTTAAAAAAATCTGCTGAAATCACCTACCAAAGAAATCTCACATCTAGTATCACTTAGGCAGGCTGCTTTCCCAAGAACAAAAATATGCTTATTAATTTTAATTGGAACAGTGCTTACATTTCTGAGCTCCATTGAACAAGGCTCTGTCTTTTGGAGTATCACCAACTTCAATGATCTTCGCTCCAGCTAGCAGCTGCATGATCAAACCAGATGTCACAATGGGTGAGATACCTAATTCCATCAAAGTACCTAAACAGGAAGAAAAATTAACACGATTGCCGTTCAAGCATCTCTCCTGAAGAATTATACTCTGAGGATATTAGTTAGTCTGTTGAAAGGTTTCTGACCTACAAGGAACATTTTTCATAACACTTCAAACATGTATATTCCAGTACAGGTATGATCAAAACAAAGACCATTACCTCCTCACAGAAGAAGGCTGCCATGTTAAAATCTGTGATTTTGAAGGCAGCACAAAAAACCTATGTAGCTTTTCACTTCCAAGTATTTTTGTGAAACCATGCTAACACTAAAGGTCAATGCACACTGAAGCTCAGCTTTTTGGCATATCATATCTGCTCTCACATGTAGTACAGTGGTGTTCCATCACAAAATTGCCAAGAGAACTATTAATAAACTATTTAGCCACTGCAGATGTGAAGTCTCAACAAGAACCAGTGATAGGGGACCGGTAAGGTCATATGGAAGATGAAAAGAAGTAGAAACAGTGTATTGATAGCTGATCAGCCTAGAAGTTTATCTATCCTCACACCTCATCTCTGAAAGGAGCCCCTTCTTTGGGGGATATCTCATTCTGTATTTCCCTTTTCCCATATATCAGTCATTTATTCAGAAACTGCTTCTGGCAACTTCTGCCAGTAATTTATTCAGAAAGTTTGAGTTACACGTGCTGCTTAATAACACCATTGGCTGCCCCTTCCCTGTTACACTATAAGGAAAAAGTGACTACCCATTCCCTATCCACTTTTTTCAGAGATGAAGACTTAAGAGACATTTGGGATACGCACATTCCGTGGCAAAGAATTCTTATTTTTTCAGGATCTCTTTCTATAGATTAATATCTACCTTAGGTTCTCCCTGGTGCCTTTTTCTGAGTGTTTTCTTTTTTAGTTCCACTATATCCTGTGTGGCATGGGAGATTAGAACTGCATGCAATATTCAATTTGTGCCACCTTACAGATTTGTACAGACATTTCTTCTGATCTTTTCAACCAGTTCTTAAGCCGTTAGGTCTTCCCTCTTATCCTGCAAGAGCTTAATTTCCTGAAGAGCCTTTAAAAAGTAATCTGAATTTAATAAAGGGTTTTTGAGCACCTCCCCTATTGTCTGGAGTCTTCATTTCTGCCTAACTACCAGAGTCCTCATTTCAGTTCTAATTTTTAAAAATTTTAAGCATTATTGCACAATTATTTTTTCTTTTTTTTTTTTTTTTAGTGTTTTCCCTGCCACCAAAATGTAAAATGTGAAAGCATTAAAGTCATTATTATAATTTGGTTCTTCCATACTTGCATCTTAAGAGTCTACACACTGTTCAGTACAGTGTTAAATACTACGTCACATCTCAAAGAAATCTGTACTTCTCCAACAGCAAGAAAATTAGGATGTCAAAAGCTGTAGCCTTTACCTCACATCCTGCAATGACATCTAGTCAGTTGACTTAGGTGAAAATTAACTGTCCCACTCCTGCTTTTTATTGCCTTCACAGTCTCTCTAGTCTTTTCTTGGCCACCGTTACCATTCTGTCTGGGTAGTGGATAGCATATTTAGTATCATACACTGCTAGCAAGACACAGAATTTTATATGCAAATTCTGCAGTAGAGTTTGAAACAGATAACTTATTTACCTTAATCTTCACTGGTGCAACAAAATTTGTCATTCCTAAATAATCTGTACCTTCACATTAGAGGGTTCCACTGATTTTCTTACTTCCAGCCAATTTTCCAAGATACAGGTCAGTCAGCGTCCTCATTCAGACTCATGCATGCCAGGTCACCCATCTTAAGTTTCAGACTTCTAGCATTAGTTTAAGTCTTCTTATACATTTGGTTGGGATCCACTTGTCTATTCTAAAATAAGTCAGTTTGGCTTTGCTAAACTATAAGCCAAATCATCTCTGCCCTTAGCTTTCCCACCTATAAAATTACTCACTCATAATGTTGCCAAAATATGAGACATAACTGACTTGTACACATAAGGTATTTTCTAATCAACACTCTCATACTGGACATTAGTGCTGTTGGTAAGTGGTGGGGCAGAATATTCCCTGTCCTATACATTAATCAGAAAGAGACTGCTCTCCAGTTCAAAACAGAATCATCCCAAAACTTGAGAATCAAGATTAATCTCATCTGCATGTCAAAGGAAACCCCATTGCTAAGATGAAGTACTCCTCAAGTATCAGTCAATTTTAATTACACCTGTGTTAAGAACTTTACAAAGTGTTTCAACATGACATTTGGGCTGTATGAAATGTAACAGCCAACTGTTTTTCTCCTGATCTGTTTATACCGACACAAAACAGAGAAAGGAATAATCTACTAACCTCTGTTTGACGCAAGAATGACTCGCATCCAATAGAAAGGATCTGCAGAATCTGATGACATGATTCCAAACAAAGGTATCTGTCAAAGCGCACAAAAGTATTAAACAGATATACAAAAGCATGCATTAATCCAAAAATCTTAACGTGTAATGATTCAACTGTTACACTGTTTAATATAATTTATTTCAACTTTTTTTTTTTTTCTTTCAGTTAAACCAGAGATACTGACACCATCTATTTTAATCCTCTAACTGGGGTGTGACTCAGAGAACTAAACCAAGACCCTTCTACAGGAAAAAGCAGAAACACCTAGAAAGAAGAGTCAGTGCACGTAAACCAGATTACTGAAGTTGAAGATGGAAATGCCTGACATATGAGATTCTGGAGTACTACAACTCACCAAAAGAACAGAAAAAGCATAAAATAAATAGGTTAGCCACCACAAGTCATTAACAGAACAAGGAAAAATATTAGATGATATGCCATTACTTATTTCACCAAATTTTTTGCAGCAATTTTGAGCTTAAAAAAAGAAAAAAAGAAAACTGTAGCAAAACATTTTTGAGAAGACAAAAGAAAGCAAGTTTTTAGGTTTTTTTAAACAGTCCTAAACAGAATTTCTTTTCAGTACAAATTAAAGATACAGCATAAACTACAATGTAAATATCTTCCTCCAGTGAGTTTAAATATTCAAATTCTACAGCTGGGAATATGTTTTAAAATATCCCATATGGAACTGTCAAAGTTAGCCAAGTTTATACAAAACCTCCAATATTCTATATGTCAATACTGAGGGATTTTGAGCTCTTTAAAACTCTTCTTAATCACAAAAACAACAGACTAGGAATTCAGGCAATCTTATAGATTAACTCCTGAAAACTCTAGTCTGCACCACCTGATTTCCTTATTCAACTACCAGATCTCCTTATTCTACTACCATAATCTTTTGTATAGATTCAAAATCTTAATTATGCATATATCCAGCAGCTAGGAAACACAGATAAAATACATGTTCTTCTAGCTCTATTATCATTCCCACTTCCTCCATCCAAAAAAACAAGTAGGAACAAGACCTGGTTTTTAGCCTTTCAACAGTCCTTCAGAGTTGTGAACAAAAATTATTGAACTACTGCTCTGGAGTCTGGAATGGGTAAGTTAATAAATATAACCTAAAAAGCCTGACTCTGAAGATGTACAGTTCATTTTAAATCTCCTAAGAGGTTGTCTACAAGTTCTAAAAAATACATGTCAAGTAATACATGGATTCTCGTTTTCTGCAATATCCAAGTATTCTTTAAAAAAAAACACCACCACTATAAACAAGTTCTAAATGTCGACTTAAAACATCTGAGAGAAACATTTTCCTGCAATCTTTACAATCCATCGGCTTGTTGAAGAGGAATCAGGTAAAAACAGTCACTTCTATTTCACTTTCAAACTTGTCACTGCTAAAATTTAAATTTAGCTGCTAACAGGGGGTAAAGAATGCATAAAATTGCTCTGTTTGTTTATACTACTCAATGAATAATTAGCTCAGCTGTTTACCCTGCAGCCAGTATCATCATTTGATAGAACCTTTCATATAACAAGAAAAACATTATGGATTTTAGACTAAATAGAAAGCATTAGTTTTTGAAAACATATACAATAAAAAATAAAGACTATGTCAGAGAATCAGGGGTTTTTTTAACTGAATTAAATACTTATCTATAAAAGTACATAACTGAAACTGGTAGGTCAACATGAAACAAGAACTTCTCACACTTTTAGCATTCTATTTTATATATACAGAACGCACATTTTCTGAACACAGAAAACAGCAACACCTACCTGGCAGCATACTAAGAAAATGAAGAGCGTGATAGCTGTCCATAGTACCTTCTCTCTGAACTGGATCTACAGAACAGATTGTAGAAATGAATGTGTTCATTGTATGTAGAATTTTCACTGTCTTCTCACATTAGTACTAAATGCTATAGCATTCAGAATTAAATGCAAAGATATTGAACCAGAAAGCATAATTTCTCATTAGAACGTACTTTTAATAAAGATTTCAGATTTTATAGAGAGACCCAGTCAGGGGCTTCTGTGTAGTCAAAGAAAACTTGTATGGGATCTGGCAGATGGCGTGGCCAACATTCAGTGAGTAGAATATATTTTATATATAGTATTCTAATACAGTGAGTATTTACAGAAAAGCAGTAGTATGGCTAAAAACATGGGCATACCAGAACAAACATGAAAAATGAATGCAAAAAAATCTTTTATCTTCACTGATTAGTGCTCTAGGCTTCAACAGACTGGAGGCACTGTTTTGTAAGGCCTGAAGTTATTAAACTAAAGCACTATAAAGTTTTTGAAGAGATTTAACTGCTGTGAAAACAGGTAATAAAACCCAGAAGAACCATGAGGTTTGGAATTCAAAATATTTGGAATTAAATTCTTCAAAGGGTGGTAGAGAAAGCTTAAAAATTCACCATTATGTTCATGGACACGGACCACAAAATAATTTTTAGATATTTTTTCCCTCCCAAAATATTTTTATCCATGTAGATTACATCTTACTTTAAAAAGAATGTCAGATCAATAATCATTAGTCACTAACACATTGAAGAGAATCACAGGGTCACAACATTTGAGGCAACTGTAACTAGTACCCGGTGCAAAAAGAGAGGAATCAAAAGATTTAAGTTTGAACCAGAGGATTACTCAAAGCATGAGATAGAAAGAAATGCACTTGAAAAGACCAGAGAGCGCTAAGATGCAGTGTTATGTTCAAGTTCCCACCTCTCCTCCATGGACCGTAAACATTAAGAGAAGTGTGTTCACTGTAGGCAAGAGTACAGCAGCTACTAAAACGTGACATAAACTAACATGTAAGATAGATACAGCAGAAATACTAGCTTTCTGCCTCCAACCACTGAATCTGCCTGTAGAGAGGTAACAAAAAAAAAGGATTAGTGCCTGATTTTGTAGGTACTGAACACCCACAAATAAGAAACTACAAACTAAGGCAGCAGCACAGCTTCTCAAGCAAAAGAAACCCCAGTAGTCTGTATCTTTGTAAGTGAAAGCATGCACTTACTTAGAAGCAAAATAATCCCAGTAATTTAATTTATTTACTGATACCACCTCACCCTTAAAAAAGAGGCCAGATGCTAAAAATACTTACAGTACAAAGTTAAAAAAAGAAAAATAGTGACAGCAGCAAATAAATCCAAACAGTATCTTGTGTTAGATTTTATGCGGTGCTGACCCACTTTACCAAGTGCTGTTTGAATTCTACAATTCAGATTTTAAGTACAGACTTTTTAAAAGACAAATGCTTAACCAAATTATCTCTGCAGCCCAGCTGTTAACCTTAGCTTCTGAGGCATCAGTCAAGCTCTACAAATGCTCTGTCTCTCTCTGTAACTGCAGTGAATATGAACATTAGAGAAATTCTGTGTCATCCAAATCACAGTTATTCACCAGGAAAACAGTCTCTATGGTTCAAAAAGACAAAAAAGAAAAAGGAGGCATCTGAATCCATATGCCAGGAACAGCAAAATACAGACTGGTACCAAAATATTCCAGCCACAAATGATAACAAGCACAGGGAGAGTACATTTCATCATCTGATCAGATTCAATTGGACATTTTCTTCCTTTGACATTTTTCTTAAGACTTGTGAAAATGAAGGGACTTAAGCATCATTTTCTTGGTGTTCTGAACAGTGCGTTCTACTTAGAAATATCTGTGCATATGAGGGAAATATGAACCAATACTACTAACTACAAAAAGTAGCAATTGCTTCTGTTAATCAATTTGGCATAGTGACAGAAAAAGCCCGCTTCCCTCATCAACAATAATGGCAAATGATTCAATGAGAGCGCAACTGACTCAAAACTTCATCTTCACTTAACAATAAATAAAATTTTAGAGAAAATAGGTTTCTTTTATTATCTTCATTTCTTGCTCTGGCCTTAACCAACCCACTGAAACCATTACTAATTATGTCTGCCAGTGACAGCTTGCAAGAAAACAATAAATAACAATGAATTACAGTTATATAGAATGACCTAGGTCACTTGAGAGACTACAAGCAAGGAACACAACTTAAAACGCTCAAAGAGTTCTTCAGTCTAGGAAAGATGTTCCGAATTGTATTTCCACTTCAAATTTGCACAAAGCTGGCAACTGGCAGTCATTGCCTAGACAGCGACCTAGATAGTATTAAAGACAAAGTGACCCAAATAGCAAGGACAGGAATCTTGGCACCTCTCTGGGCATCCTTCATCTGCTGATAGAGGACATGGACAGATCAAGCACCTCTTCCTCTCTGGCAAATAGAAAGGGAGGAGGAAAAAAAACAAGAGAAAAATCACAGCTGTCGATGAGCTTTACAGAAACATCAATATTTGTATATTTGTCTTATTTAGTTTCCTCTTCCCATCCACTTCACTAGACAAAAATGGGATGGATGTAACCAATTCATCACAGATATGCCATAAATCAGCACTAGAAGACTGCACTAAGGTTCACCACTGCAGAAACAAAGATGGGTACCTTCCACCCAGATCTGGTGCATCCAAATCTTAGCACAGGGTCTGGCTCTGGAGATTCCTGCTCTGAAGATGCCTTTGTCTGACCTAAATAATTTGTTTGGAACCCCATTCCAAGAAGGAAAGATGCTGGAAAGCAACAAAGACAGACAGATGGAACAAAGAGCCAGGGGATAAATCCCATCTTTTTAAAAATCAGTTCCAGAGGGGAATAATCAGCAGTTTTTACTGTATCTTCTCCATTCAATCCAGCAGGCTCAGCTATGGTTACTGGAACAAACATCTCTGTATCCAGTCCTAACCTTCGGGAATCTCTCATCAACGAAAGAGGATTCTGTCAGATGGTGTCATGTTCCCAGCTATGCATTTCCTTTTAAGAATATAAAAATCAACATTCAGCTCTTAAGGAATTTTCATGCCAGTCATGACAATGAATATTAGGTAAATTTGTTTCTCTAATTAGAACCTTTGTCACCTAGGCGATATGTGCTTGCTTGAGTTTTGGAAGTAAAAAATGGTGGGGTGGGGTTGGGTTTTTCTGACAGGACAGATCTCTTTTTGATCTGCAGCAATTAACTAATTTTAATCTACAAAATGTGCTGAGAAATGGGAGGAGCTTCCAGGGCTGGGGGAACAGAGAGATCAGCTGTAAATGAACTCAGTTCACTGATTTCAGAACAGTGTCACAGTGAACAGGGAGCAATTACCTAACTATATCACAGATCACTCTCCCACTTCTTCAACGTGAATCACAGCTACGGGAGTGGAAAATATTTTGTGGGAAAGGAAGAACTGAATTTGTGGTTCCTGAATTACAGCACAAGCCTTTTCAAAGTAATATATAAGCCAGCTCAAAGCCGAGAGTTGTGACCAGTGCTCAAAGCCAATAGTGGTATCCACAAAGACAACAGTGGATTTCCACAGGGGAAAAAAAAAGCTTGAAAACCCTGTTCTAGTATATAAAAACAGATCCAATCGTACAGAGCTAAAACTAAATAAACTTAGTCTGGACAGGAGACTTTTTTTTAAAAATCAGCATAATTACCAAGTGGAACAACTTATCAGAAGGCTGTTAAGAATTCATTATGACAGTAATCTTTTACCTTAACATGGGTTCCCCCTCCTCCAAAGAATACATCGTACTTTAGGGCCTACTGTCTGTATTTATATTGGAGTCTGGACTTGAATATCATAATATTCTCTTATCTTTGAGCCAATAAAAGTAAGAACATAATGTGGCACTCACTTTTCTTTCCGGTTTCTGGATTTCAGGTAACACTGCACAGAATGGCTTAATAACTTCTAAAAATTTTACTGTTCCAGAAAAACAAACACACACAAAAGAAGAGAGAAAAATGTATTAATGAACCTTTATGAACTTATAACGCTTCATACAACTTTATTTAACTTCTAGGGGAAAAAAATAAAGTGTCAGTAACATTTTATAAGTGAATTATTTCATCAACACACGCTCTAATTCAGTGTCTGAAAATTAATGCCCTCTCAAAACAGCTGAAAACAGGGCAAAAATGTGAAAGAGAATTCTTGTTCTAATCAGATTTGGCCCATCCTTTTTTCCACAGCTGGAATCATTTTAGATGAGAAGCAGCACTGTGTATATCACAAGTGAACTAAATTGTATTCCATCTAAAAATAAATGACCTAGTATCAGACTGTGCTAGTTAAATACAGAAGCAAAGGATACTGTTATCAAAAAGTATCCATGTAGAGATTAAAATCTTGTGTTTTACAGAACTGAGAAAAAAAAATTCAAACTCTAAAACATGTTTAGAAATCCTAATTTAAATCATTGCAACACTTATTCTGATCAGAACTTTTGGGGCATTTCATTTTGACTTTTGATATATCTCTCTTCACAGTTTCTCCTCTAAAAACACAGAAAAACTCAACAGTTTGAGCTCTATTTTGGGGCGGGGGGGGATCAAAGCACATGTGTTCGGTGGGTAATTTGTCCTCCAAAACTTGGACATTTTTCCCAGCCTCAATACATTTGGATAGCCATAGAAAACAACCGTCAGTACCTCTTCAAAGAAAATGCATTTATTACACCGCGAGCCAAGTTAAGTAACGTTTTGGTCCAAATGCCACGTCTACTTTTACACTTTGCTGTGACATATTTCTCCTTTATTTATTCCAAGCTCTCAAGACAGCTCACCAGAAGGTGCATCTTGCTCCACAGTAAGGCGGCACAGCTCCCATATTAAAATACTAAAGCCATGGGGAAAAAAAAAAACAAAAAAACCCCAACCAACCCACCACAAAGCGGTGCCCCATCTCCCCCTCTAGCCCTGCTAGCTCGGCAGGAGCGTGTCCCGCTGCCGCCGACCCCCCGGCCTGCCCCTGAGGCGGGCACCTCAGGCACGCCGCCACCTCAGCCCACCGGACCGGCGACCGGCCGCGTCCCGCCCTCACGCAGACAGCGACCCCGCTCCCCCCCCCGGGCCGCTAGCCCTCGGCCGGCTATCCCGGGACCAGCCCCGTCGCCCGCGGACCGGCGCCGACCCGTACTCACTGCCCATGGCGGCGGCGGGACCGTCCGCCTGCCTCCGCCGCTCTCACCGCCGCTCCCCGCCTCCGCCGCCGCCGGCCGGCGCCGTCACGTGACACCGGCCGCAAGGCCCCCACCCCTTTGCGCGCAGGCATCGCTGCGGACGACTATCCCTGCCCTGAGGCGACGGCGCTACCGACTCGGCGGGGAAAAAGGAAACCGCCCCCCGTCCCCCCGCCGCTCACGGCGCCCCGAGCGCCGACCCGCTCCTTCCTCTGAGGGCAACGGGATCCGCCACCCGGGCGACGATCGCCGCTACGGGGCGGATCAGGCTCTCAGCGGACAGCCATAAGGGTGAAGGACCCGCGCTCCCAGAATGCTCTGCGCGCCGTGAGGGGAGGCCGGCTGTTCCCGCCCACGGGCGACCGCAGCACCGCCTCAGCGACGCCTCAGGCGTCGCTGAGGCGGTGCTGCGGTCGCCCGTGGGCGGGAACAGCCCGCCTCACACCGCCAAAACTCACTGATTTCGTTTAGCCTTGCGTGGCAGGAGGAAACTCTCCCCTCCTCACTGAATCGCAGCCTTGTTCATGTCTTCTTACTCCTCAGGGGTTTTGGGGAGGTTTCCTGGATGTTGCTGATAGAGCAGTTACCGATCGGAGAAGCACAGGTTTAGCAGTTTGGTACTGGTGGGTTTCACTACTATCCAAATCCACCCATACTGATGGGTGGATGTGATAATTTCGCGGGTAATTTGACAAAATCACAGGTCCGTGGGTGAAGTGAACCTGGCAGAGCGCCTGCATTGAGAATGGGTATCGCCGAAATGGGTATCAAACGTTCTTCAGAGCTCCCTGTTACAACAGGCAACAGTCTGTAAAATGAGGGTTACCAGAATTTATTGCAGGATTTATATACGATAATTTAAAATAATATTTATTCTTTCTGAGTTAACTCATCCTACGCGTAGGCTTGCATTCTTCCCATTTTAGGCTAACTTACCAAGAAAGAGTATGAGATGTGAAAGATTACGACTCCTCAACCTTCAACCTGTGTATTGGATTTTATTCTGCATTCCCTGAGAAGAAATCCTCTTAACCAAGACCTTCTATGATATCTTTAACGAATTTCGTTCAATAGCCTCCCTCATCTGAGATCACTGAGAAAGACTTTTTCTTCCAGTTTATATCATCATAATTTTACAAATACTAATGAGTTACCCTGTAGCAATTACTTTCACCTATAGTTCCTGAATAGTCTGACAAATGCCCATAATTAATTGGCCTAGCATCTTAGTTGTAGATTATAATTACAAATTAATAGCTGAGCTTCAGGAAGTTTCTTGTAGTTGCCCTTTGTTCAGACTGTTAGCCATCTTAACTTTTAACTTACCTTAAAAGCTCCTTAAATTACAGGTCTTGTTAGTTTGCTCGCTCATAGCAAACATTCCTATCTGTAAGTTGCTGGCCCATGTTTTGGTGATTGATAAAAGGTCCAGGAAGTTTCTTCAATCCATACTAACAAACATAGATGCACCACTCCAGGTGTGCTGAAGAAATGTTACTGTATCACCTACGAATGGGTTCCCAGTGATGGAAGTAAAAAAATCGAAATGCAGTATTGTTTTCTTTGCTCGTTCTAAGTGAATGCTATTGTGTTCAAAACTTTATGCCTTCAAAATCCAGGTGTCGTGGTTTAACCCCAGCTAGCAACCAAGCACCACGCAGCCGCTCACTCACTCCCCCCCCATCCAGTGGGATGGGGGAGAAAATCAGGAAAAGAAGTAAAACTCCTGGGTTGAGATAAGAACGATTTAATAGAACAGAAAAGAAGAAACTAATAATGATAATAACACTAGTAAAATG